AGGGGTCAACCCTCTACCGTCACACCGTGTACCCCTCCTCGAAATCAACCTAAAGCTTTCCCCACGACGTGGAGACGCCCCTGGACCCCAATTTCAATGTTGACGCCGAAATGGCGACTGCCATTTTTTCGTTGACCCCGCGGGCCGCGTTGCGCGCGTCCACCGACAATGAAATTCGTGAGCGAAGGGGTTTGATCAAAAACTTGTATTTGATTTCGAAGAGGGTTCAAAATAGAACGACGACCTGGACAATACGGCAACCCACGACGGACGCTGTAGTCAACCCAGGACGAGACAGATGTGCTGGCTCAAACCACGAACAGCATGAATCAAAGCAAGGCCAAGATTATGTCCCCTCTCATCGGGAGCATTTCCCTTTTGCTCATGCGTGCGTGTGCGCAGCAGCTCACGTGCGCGTCCACATTATGGCACCAACACGGCGCGGTCAAACGGCTGGCCGACGTTCCAAGCCTGGCCCCCCAGCATGGCAAACGCATGGGGAGCAGGCGCGGGAGGGCACCGCGTGCATTATCCACAGGACCAGATGACTGTCCCCCTCCCCAAAAAAACGAAACACATCCTTCATCCAGCCACTCACATCGCACCGGTCAGCTCGCGTTGCAAATTCGATCGCGCTGCCATTAGCGTGATAATCAGCCTGCCCAAGAAGGAAGTAGGATATAAGAAACGAGGAGGTACAGGAGGAGGAGGAGGTGGAGGAGGAGGAGGAGAAGAATATATCCTGAGCGCATCCACCGGACCAGGTGACTGAATGCCCCTGAGCCTCGAAGCGTCGCCCCTTTCCAGCGGAGAGCCTGCAACGGTGCACTCGATACGCTGGGGCGCGCCAGCGTGCCTCTGAATTGTCCAGCTGGGCTTCTGTGGTTTTCCCAAACAGCGTTTGCATGTAGATCCTTTGACTTTGGTTCTAAGGAACTGGGTCCCATTGTCGGGTCCGCCGCCTTGTGGTCGTCGTTGCTGCCCCGTCGCCGCCTCGTCGCCGCCCTTCGTCTGGGGTCCGTTGTCGGGTCCGCCGCCTTGTGGTCGTCGTCGCCGCCCCGTCGCCGCCTCGTCGCCGCCCTTCGTCTGGGTTCCGTTTTCGGTTCCGCCGCCTTGTGGTCGACGTCGCCGCCCCGTCGCCGCCTCGTCGCCGCCCTTCGTCTGGGCTCCGTTTTCGGTTCCGCCGCCTTGTGGTCGACGTCGCCGCCCCGTCGCCGCCGCGTTGCCGCCCGTTGTTTGGGTTCCGTTTTCGGTTCCGCCGCCTTGAAGTCGCCCGTCGCCGCGCCGTCAAAGTTTCGTCGCCCTCTGTCTTCGGGGCTTCGTTGTCGGGTCCGTCGCCTTGTGGTCGCGTCCTTCGTGTCGCCGCCGCATTTTGGTCGCAATTTTGATTGTGCGAGCCTCGTACACCGTTCCAGCTAGGGCTTTGGCACCGCAATGGCAGCGAGCATAGGCCGGAAGTTTGGGTCCCGTGGCTTCCATACGCCCGCTGCCACTCTCCCCACGCCTTCACCGTCGCTCGCCGTGACAACGAGAAGCCACGATTGAAGGTCGAAAAAGACTTCGCGGCCTGACTGCTTCAGGGCGTGCCAGAACCAGCGCAGCGAGGCACTGAGGGACGCCGGCGTGCCCATCAACCCTCTGCCATCGAACTGTCGACGTTTCCATGGCACCAGCGCTGCGGAACCGTAGCGGCCGAAGAGAAACGAACGTGCCCACCCAAACTGGCCTCTGATGGAGCCCGCCTTTGCAGCAGGCAACTGGCAGCACTGCAGGTAGTAGTCGACGCCATAGATCAAGGCTGCTGTTCTCTGACCCGGCAACCGTGAGCGACGGGCCGAAGGACGTCCACTGAGAGTTCCGCTCTGAGCAGCTTCCACACGCCAGCTGACAGAAGCGACTTCTGAAGATCGAGCCTCCACCCAACCTGTCTGCGAAGCCACACCCAACAGAACCACGCGCAGGAAGCTGTGCACGCGCGCTCCACGCACCAGACGTCGTCGCTGTAGTGGCGAATTTGGAACCCTGTTCTACACCGATCGTCGTATTCAAGCGTGCCCTTTTGCCTCTGAGCTGGACCTCCCGGAAGACGGAAGGCGGTCTCTCTCAGTCTGGGGAAGCTCAACACCTTACACTGTCCCTGAACGACACCTCCCGACTACTCAGTCGGCACCTCACCCAAATGCGCAACTGCAGGGCTTACACAGCAATCGGAGGTACGATGAGAAATGTGGACGCCACTGGCCCTGCCTACCACAGGCCTCCAGGCAAAATGTTAAAAGCAACCTATTGTTTTCTTAAGAATGCGCAATAGCGCGGGTGCAGGTTTTTTTGAAACCCTTGTTGCGAAACCACGTGGTTTTACATGTTTGCGTGACTCTCGATTTTGAAATCCTTACGAAATCTAAAGTGTTTGAAGGATTCCGGCATGCGCGCGTGACGACGCGCGCGTGCGCACTTCGTTCCGTTCTTGTCAAGGGATTCTTGAAAATTGGTGATGTTTGACAAACGAGTGCGCGCGCATAATGATTTCTGCTGGGGATGAGGGGGGTGGCGATACCAGGCTGCCTGGGATGGTACGAATCCATTTTTAGGATGGGCGATGGGGAAGAATCACATGTAAAGTGAAACACGACAAGGTGGCCAGGTGACCTCAGGGGGGGAGATCTAATACTCTTTTTGAAAGGAGAATATATGTTGTGCTATCTATGTGGTGCATTCGAGCAATGCAGAGCAATGCAGAGTAATGCAACGCAATGCAGAGCATTGAGAAGCAACGCCAAGCAATGCACAGCAAAGCAAAGCAATGCGAAGCAATGCGAAGCAACGTCAAGCAACGCAAAGCGGGCGGCGACGAGGCGGCTGGCGGCGACGAGGCGGCGACGGCGGCCGCGTAGCGGCCAGAGCGGCCCGCAGGCCCAGAAGACGGGCGGCGACTAGGCGGCGACGGGGCGGCGAGGCGGCTGCATAGCCGTCAGACGGACCTTCAGGCCCAGCTCCTGGTTCCAGAGGAAAGAACCCTTAAGTTAAGTGCAAGCACTGTGTGGGGAATCGAAAGAAGACGAACCTTCTCCGATACCCTCAGAGACCTCCCAAAGCCATGATACGCAACGGGCGAACCACGTATTATCCATCCTACGTCCGTCTCGGCCCCCTTGCTTTTTTCATGCACTTCGCCCCATCCCCTGGTCCCATGTATCCTCGTGAACTCTCTGCTTCTCGCAAAGCTTGCGCAAGCGTGCCGCCAGGTCGCTTTCCTGCGGTGGCGATGGCTGCGGATAGGCAAGAACAGACCAGCAGTGGCAGCACCCTCCCTCAACCCCAAGACGTCGAAGTACACATCGATCCGACTAGTTCCGTTTCGCCCACTTTCGATCTCGGCCATGCGTGAGTGCCATGGTGGTGCCGCTCTCGTTCTGTAATCCATCCGGTCTTCTTCAAGCACGATGACTCCACGCACAGAGGCTGATTGTGACGCAGATAGGGTGCAAACCGCAGCAAAGCACTACACCATGTGGGAGCACACACACACACGGACCTCTAACACCAACATATTGAGAGGGCAACGTAGGAGGAGGAGGAGGAGGAGGAGGAGGAGGAGGAGGAGGAGGAGGAGGAGGAGGGGGAGGAGGAGGGAGGGGGAGGAGGAGGGAGGAGGAGGAGGAGGGAGGAGGAGGAGGAGGAGGAGGAGGAGGAAGGGGGGAGGAGGAGGAGGAGGGGGACTGGCTCAGGGGGTGAGACATCGACTTGGAACTGGCGATGCGTCGCCGATGGCTGGGCGGTGTGCCCCCGATGGCGAGGCCACGGTCCTGGGCGGGGCGGGCCATCGGGGCCGCGCTTGGCGTCGATGCCCCCCCCCCCGAGCCTGTCCCCTTGTCTTAAGTCGGGCCTGTCCCGTCGGGGTCCCGTCGGCGATGCGTGAGCGCTTGGCGTCGATGCACCCCCCCCTGAGCCTGTCCCCTTGTCTTAAGTCGGGCCTGTCCCCCTACAGGGGGATTTCCGACAAAAAAACAAAAATCCCCCCCAAAAAATAATCAATAATCAAAAAATAATCAAACAATGAATAATCAAAAAAAAATCCCCCCCACAAAAATGAAAAATACCCCAAAAATAATCAAAAAATAATCCAAAAATGGTCTGGGGACTAGTTTCTGAAGATTTTTGTACCTCTTTGGGGCAGTTTTGGGGCATGTTTTATTTTTCGTCGAAAATCCCCCTGTAGGGGGACACGCCCGACATTACCCTTGTCGAGGCCTCTGCATCATAGCAGGAGGACCCAAGCCTGCCGACTCCCTGCATGGGCAATTCTGCGCCGGGTCGCGCCGAGCAGGCCCGCGGGTTCCGGGCGCAGCGTGCAGCGCAGAAGAGCCTATTTCATGCAGTGTCTCCGGCAAGCCCCCCCCCAAAACATCTACATGATGACATTGGGGCACTCCGGTTTGAGGCTGGCACGCTAGCGTTTACACCTGCCGCCTGTCAAGACAGCGCCCGCTGCGCACGTTTGGGCGAGCCTCTGTAAGCCAAATCCAGGCAAGAGAAACAAGCAATGTGATAAGCGACGGGAAGGTGGATCTGAGGGGGGGGCCTGACGATGCTGTGTTTTAGCACGTAAGACTCATGTCAAGAGAGGGTGAGCACCCATGCTCGAAGAAAAAGAAGCACTATCGCATGAGGCTCCCAAATCTGGACCCACCTCCCGCCAACGCCCAGCAAATGTTTGCTGTATACTTTTCTGGTGTCCTCGAAGGATAAACACTACGAGCATCTGGCCTCGGCCGTAGCTGAGCGCGCAACAATCGACCGAAATGTGTGTTCGTGTCGCTTCCCTCAGGCGCGCCTCAAGGACGGTGCCTTGTTCATGTACAACGATCAGGCGTGAACTATGAAAAGCTCGCCATCCGGCAACCATTCCTTGCGGGGGTGTCTACTCGCAGTCAGGTGGCGGGTGCAAGCATGGGCATTGTGGCAGCCCGCCTTTCCCCCTCCGCACCCGGAGCGGGCTCCTGACGCTCCTTGGCACGCTGGTACACCGCCTGCCTTTTGTCCTCCGCCTCGGGGGAATGCAGCTGGACAAAGCACATCACACACTTTAGGAGAAGCAGCTATTACCACTTCCAACTCCCCCCAAAAAACATATGGTTTCAATCAGTAGAGGTGGTAACTAACTCCGCCCCGCGGGAAATAGTAAGGGATCACGCAAATTCCTCGGGGGCTGCTGGATAATTTGATTTCGTAAAATGTACATGGTCACATGTCGGGCTCCGACACATGATTGACAAAAATACAACACATGCCAACGACGACTAGACCACAAAACAGCTCACCACTCTGCAGTGCATCTGACTCGTCCGGCGTGGCGGAGCGGCAGGGAGTGGGCTGTGCCATACCAATGCAAGTCATCGGAAGGGGCGGGAACAACAAGGCCCCAGCAGAGGCAGACGACGACGCCCACCAAGAGAGCACAGAGGAGCGAAAGTGGAAGGGAGGACCGACTGGAGAGAAAGCCGGGGAGAGTGGCAGGCAGGGAGGGACAGCCCCGAGTGAAGAGACGGAAGAGGCACAGGCCTCAGAAACCGGCGCCGCAGAAGGCACCGAAGGCGCCAGGGCATGTCGGATGGCCTCGGTACAGCGACGCGCCGCCCTCCGGGGGCTTCGGGGTGCGGCTCGAGGAGGAGGGAGGCAGAGGGAAGCGAGGGAGCTGAGGGGCTACACTTCCAGACGTCTCCTGGCGGATTGAACTTGGGTCTCCTGCCTCGGGTTGCCAGTTCAAGATCTGAGAGCTCGTCATTCGGAGCCAGCGTGCCGAAGAATCCTGGAATCTGCCGCGCCAGTATTGGGGCATCGAAGCCCGCCGACTACGTTTGCAAAGCAAGGTGCAGCCAATGTGTCCATCAAGTCCACCCTCCACACCAAATCTACCATCTAGACTAGCTTTCCGCAACGCAAAAGAAAAATTGATTGGTGCTCAATGGAAGTATGGTCCACGTCCCTGCAGCATTGGGACCCCTTCTGCAGCATTGGGCCCCCGTTCTGGATTCGAATGAGAAAACCCCGAGCCGGAGAGACGCGGTCTAACGAAAGGCGTGGGTTAAATAGTTAAAAACCATGCTTCCACATCTGTCCTCGTTCCTCTTTTCTTCGCTCACACTCACACACACACACTCTCACACTCACATTCCAATTCACAATCGCAGCACAATATATGCCCTCCTCCTCCTCTTCCTCCTCCTCTTCCTCCTCCTCTTTCTCCTCCTCTGCAAACTCTCCTCTTCTCATTCACGTGCTGGCATGCACAGTGGCACAACCACCATCACCCACGATCACGCATTCACATTCGCACACACACACACACTCTCACACACACACACACACACACACGCACATGCGCACACATTTGTATCTGCAGACCCGAGCGCGCGGGTCGTTCGAGCGGCTCAGGGGCGGTGAGCGGCGAATCAAGCCTGGCGGGAGGGAAAAAGAGGGGCAGGGCGGCCGTGGAGGGGGGGAACGAGCGGAGGGAGGGGGAGACTCAGACCGTGAAGGCCGTCGTCAACAGGCTGCGGCCCAGGCGCGACCGAGTCGCCAGACCGTCCCGGAAGAGGTACAGCAAGTCGGCGCGCAGGTCGAGGACGAGCAGGCCATGTAGCGCCCGTGGGCGTAGTGGCACTGCCGAGGAGCGGAAGTGCGTGACCACGACCAGGAGCGCACCGTGGCAGTCCACCAAATACGTAAGCGCACAGGGTCCATTGAGCAACCAGGCTGGGACGCAATACAATAATCAAAGGTGGGCTGCAAGGTGGCGCAAGTCTGCCTCTGGTGGTCAGGTGGCCAGTGGCCAGGAAAGGGGGAGGCTGCAGTACACGCATACGCATACAGACATGAACACACGAACCCACTGACAGGCACGTCCCTTGGAACTAACACGGATCCGTTCGGGACGGATGGATTGAATCTTCCCTGGTGGAATGCATAATGGGACATTCGTAAAAGTACATGTCAGACCATCTTACGAACCTCGTGGTCACCAAATGCCAGTAGGCACATCACTTCGCCTCTGAAAGACGGGGACCTCGGGTCCCCTCGTGACGACGGGGGTAACTCTGCCGTAGAACTATAAATGATGAGAACGGTGCGATCAGTGCACAAAGCAACTGTGGCGATAACGACCCTCCTCCTCCTCCTCCTCCTCCTCCTTCTCCTTCCCTCTTGTTGTACTCCTTCCCTTTCGGTACCCTTTCCTGCTTCAATTCCTCCTCCTCCTCCTCATCATCATCATCATCATCATCATCAGCATCATCATCAGCATCAGCATCAGCATCAGCAGCAGCAGCAGCAGCAGCAGCATCATCATCATCATCATCATCATCATCATCATCATCATCATCATCATCATCATCATCATCATCATCATCGTCGTCATCATCATCATCATCATCATCATCATCATCATCATCATCCACCTGCTCCATGTTCTCCCTCTCATCCTGCTCCTCCCTCGCTGTCCCGAGCTGTCGTTCCTCCCTCGATTCATTCGTGTTCCCTCTGTGCGCGCACCGAGCGACCACTGGGGGCCAGGCAGAGGGAGACGCTGGCCGGAACAGCAGCCGGTGGGCCGCGCCGCCAGCCGACCGGCAGGGCGAGGGAGATGGCGTCGGCCGCCCTCGGGGGGGACGCGCGCGGAGCCTCCTCCTCCTCCTCCTCCTCCTCCTTTCTCCTTCTCCTCCTCCTCCTCCTCCTCCTCTTCCTCGCGTCTGCCCACTACCGCCAGCTTTGCAAGATGAAGTGCCGCCCACCTCAGCAACCACAGGGCTCGCAAGAGTAGAATTCAAGGCATGCTTTTTGAGATGACGCCCTGGTGCGCAGAGCGCTCGTTGGCTCGCTCCTCCTCGCGTGCCCTGCCGCAGGCCCTCGTGCTCGACAGCCCCGAGGCCTAAAAGCAGCAACCGAGATGCCGCAAGACAGGCCCGAGGAGGCGAAATTCGTTTGAAGGGGTGGCGCTGGGGTGTGGGCTCCCTGGCCTATAAAATATCTAACTAGAAGCATGCACACATTCATATGTCTAAACAATTATCTGAACACATTCTACATCTATAACAAATATATCGATCTACTGATATACGTGTATATACACATACATTTCTATACATAACTTCTTATAGGGCCGGGGACGCCAGAGCAAGCCCACACCCACACACACACACACACACACACACACACACACACACACATGACGAATTTGGCCCTCCCCGGGCCTCCAGGCAACCCATCAGACGACCCGGGAGAACCTCGCGAGAGCCCGAAGACGGCCCCAGACGGGTTCCAGGCGTTTCGGCGCGCTCCCGAAACGACCCCCAGAGAGCCCCTAATACGGTCCACGACGACCCCCAAGAAGCCGTCATACGCCCAAAGATCGCTCCAAAACGTCCCAAGAGGTCTCCAAGAGCACTCCCAAGAAGGCCCCAAGAGGGAAAAGTCTTTTCTGCGTTTTTTTTCTTAATTTGGGGGTTCTCCTGATTTCGGCTTCCCGACGCTCCAAGACGGCGGTCTCCTAGGCGTCCGAAGCCGCCTGGGAGGCTCCCAAAGCGCCCCACAACCATCCGAAAGGGCTTCCAGGCAATCCAAGAGAGCCCCCAAACGGCACAGCAGGGGACCAAGACGGCCCTAAGAGAGACCCATGGCGGCCCAAAATGGCCCCAAGACACCCTCTGAAGCACTCAAATCATGACCCGGTCGTTCAGGGGGACCGCGGTTGGAGGCAGGGTGGCCCGAGGAAGCCCCCAGAGGACCCCAGAACACGCCCAAGAGGCCTCCAGAAGTCCTGAAGAGTTTGAAAAACTTTTGTGGGGACCCAAGAGGCTCTCCAGGGAGGATGTCTCCGCACAAAGAGCTAAGGAGGATGGGGAGAATGCGCTGGGTATGGCATGGATGAAGAAACAAACATGGAAGACAAATCGCGAATATAACATTGTTATGACAGCGATGCCGGAAAAGGCAACAAAGAGTTATCGCTAAATTGTCGGCTTGACCTTCCTGCCAATTCCGCCTGCAAACCAAACTTCAACGACCAAGGTGCATGGCACGAAGCGCCACTGCAGTCTTGTACAGATGTCTAGTTATGTACACATAGCGAAAACAATATATAACGATGCCCTTCCTCGGCTGAAAGAGCTCCTCTTAAACCCAAGGCCGATGCATTTTTCCGGGCTCACCACTGCCTCTGCAAACATCTGACAGCTCGAGGACGGCCACGGTTGGGGCCGGCCTCGACTAGCCCAGGGTGGGCGGGCACGGGAGAGCTTGAAGCCAGAGCCCCCGCGCGTCGAGGAATCACTGCAATCAGCGATGCCCTTCCTCTGCTGAAAAAGCTCCTCTTAAACCCAAGGCCGATGCACTTTTCCGGGCTCACCACTGCCTCTGCAAACATCTGACAGCTCGAGGACGGCCACGGTTGGGGCCGGCCTCGACTAGCCACAACCGCTCATGGTGGAAGACGGGGCGGGGGAGGGAGGAGCGAAGCGGGCACCGAAGAGCTCTGTTGGCAGCGGCGGCGGCACACGATGACGGTGACTGGAAGGGCGGGGGTCGACGTCGCTCGGCCTCGGCAAACGACTCGAAGACAGAAGCTGCTAGGTGGCCTCGAAAAGGAGGTCGCCGGCAGCCTCGGCGAAAAGCCGGACCTTACTACGGAGGGGACTCGGGAGGTCCGCGAGGAGCGTACTAGCCCCGACCTCCTGGATGTAAATCTCTAGCATCCTACTGGAGAGCCACCTGCCCCTGTAGCGAACCCAGTCTGGCGAATCTGTGAGCCTATACCAAAACGTGGCCCCTCCCGGGCGGAGGGACGCGGGGGTGATGCCAACTTTGTCTGAATGTTTAAGTCCGAAAAAATCCATGAGGGCATCCATACATGATCTGAAAACATGGGCACCTCCATGCATGAGAGGGATGCGAGGGGAGGACCGAAGAGAGAGGGCCTCAAAGAAATTCACAACTTGCGGGACATCAATCCTGATGTGCTCGCGGCGCGCGCCTAGGCGTCTCATTTTGGGCGCGCCAACGTGCACATATTGATTGCAGACGCTTTAACGTCCGCGAGGGGAGCACAAGGTCCCCGAACCTCAGCCTCAGGAACTCGAAGGGCCTCATCATCCCGAAGAAGCCGAGGAGCAGGCAGCCGGCGACGTCGCACCAGCCCCACGCCAGTGCCAAGCTCACAGAAGCGAGCAGCAGCGCCTCCGGCATCGCCTGGTGGTTCGAGCCAGGCGTCAGGTGCTTCCACGTGAAGGAGATGTCCCACGCAGCGTCGAGCCGGTGTCGGAGGGCACGATTTGCGTCCACCACAGCATTGATCGTCTCGTCGTAGTCGTGGCGGCTCCGCATCGTGTCGTACAAAAACTGGCCGTACTTAGCCAGGTAGCGAGCCACCGTAGCTGGGTCCATCAGGATGAACAGGTCCCAGCTGGGCCCGCCGCAGCCCGCCAGCCAGTGCTGGAGCTGCGAGACGAGGGCAGCACGGCGCGCCTGGACCACTGGCGTCAGGCCGCGCGCGGCCGCCAAGTCCACCCCCGCGGGGCGGGCGGTCGGCGGGCGCGGCGCGGCAGCAGGGCCCCGCAGCAGCAGCGCCACCAAGAGCCCGAAAAGGCGGCCCAGCGGCCGCGCCGGCCAGGCTGCAGCGGCGCAGGAGGCTGGTGCCGGGGTTCCACGAACCCGACCCTGATGGAGGCTGGCCGTGCCCGGGAGGAGCCGGGCCGTCACCCGACCAGGGGATGGAACCCTGCTCACCTCCATGGGGGGCCTCCTCGGCAAGCCGCCTCCGCCGCGCGGGCCCTCGCCCAGGAAGCCCAGCGCGGGGTCGCGCACCCGCGGTCGAGGGGCGAGCCGCAGGAGCCCGCGCCACCAGAGGCACGCCACCAGCCAAGCCCACCGCGACTGCTTCCGGCGCTGCAGCGGGGGCGCAGCCCAAGCGCGGAAGGCTGAGGCGCCCCCGGCCTCGAGGCCGGCCAGCCAGCGCGGAGCGGGAGGTGGAGCCTCGGCCCCGCGGGCCAGAGCGCTCGCCGGGTCGCGGAGCGTGCGCGACGGGGCGTCGGCTGGCTGCAGGCGCGTCGGCGCGAAGTGGCATCCGACGTGCGAGCCCGCGGCCAGCTGCAACGGGGCCCTCCCTCTCAAGAGCTTGTTGATCGCAGTCGATGAGGAGCGGCCCTTGCTGATGGCCCCGATCGAGACGCGGGAGTCCAGGAGGAGGTTGTGCTTGCAATCAGGGAACCGTAGGCCCTGCTCGTCCACCGCGTCGCAGGCCGCGTCAATCTCCAGCAAGTTGATGTGGAGGGGCTTGCGGAAAGGGCGGTGGCAGTGGAGCTGCCAGGGAGCGAAGCCGACGTAGTCGTTCAGCCAGAGGGCCTCGAACGCTCCAGCGGGCGCCGAACTCTCCGCCGGTGGCGGCGGAGTCGGCCCGTCCAGGTTGTCGGCGATCAGCTTGGACAGCTCGTCGCAGAAGCCGTGCGGGTAGAGCGCGGCTTTGGGAGTCAGGCCGCCCTCCAAGACGGCGCGCTTGCGCCCTCCGCGACAGCGCCTCGCCATAGGCGGCGGCCAGGAGCCCCGCACGACCAGGAGGCTAGTGTCCTTCTTCCAGGGCGCGCCGAACTGTCACATCGAGAGGTCGAAGCGGTCCACGACCTCGTGCGTCAGCAGGAACTCGACGATGTGCGCGCACCAGGAGTAGGCCGTCAGGGGATGCTCGTGCAAGCCGGTACCGTGGCCCGAGATCAGGTGGGCGAACAGCGCCAGCATGCCCACCCTGAAGAGGACGTTCCCCAGACGCGTCGGGGTCGAAGATGGGTCGAATCCCCAGGGCCGCATCCTGGACCTGAGCCTCGGGAGCCTCGCGATCGAGAAGCTGGTGCATGGAACCTGCGATATGGTCATCTTGACGCGCCTCTGCCAGATAAGCCATACTACCCACTCCGCCAGGCGCGAGTCGACCAGGTCCCAGTACTTGTGGCACTTGATGTCTATCCTCGGCCCCGCGCGCGCAGGCCCCGGCCCGAGAGGTAGCCCATGAGGCGGGCCTCCTCCCCGCAGCAGAGCTCCAGCACGTCGAAGCACTCGATGAGCGAGGCCGTCGGGTCGACGACGCCAGGGGGAGGTGCGGCACCCTCCTCCAGGTCCTGCAGGACGGCGCCGTCCTCGGGGTTGGCCAGGGCAGCCCAGCCTGAGGGGTACAGCCACGTACGAGCGCCTCGCTGCTCGCGCTGGCGCCAGAAAGCTCTGGCGGTGGGCGCTGAGGCCGGCGTCTTGACGGACGCTCCGGCCAAGTGCGAGGCGTCCGAGGCCAGAACGCGCGGCCCCCAGCCCGCGGAGAGGTCGGTGGCCATCAGCGGGAGGAGAACCGCGAACAGGGCGCACTCGTTGCAGGCCGCGCTGCTCAGGTCGAACACCTCGTGCGGGTCGCGGCCGACGTCGACCTCCTTGTAGCAGTGGTGGAGGAGCGACAGGGTCGGCCGCCGGAATAGCGCGGCAAAAAGCCCCATGCCAAGGAACCTCTGCAGCCCCAGCGTAATGGAGCGTCGGCCCCGGGCCATGGACAGGCCCATCCAGGCCAGCGCCAGCCTGCGGGTGCGGGAGGCGCCGACGAGCCGGTCGTGGCCCAGGAGCTCTGCCCCGATGACCGTCGCCTCCGCCGCGTCCTTCACCTCCTTGCCAGCGCTGACCCTGAGGCCAGCCTTAGCATAGCCCTCGCGCGCGCGGGCGAAGGACTCCTCGATAGCACGCCGAGCTTCCCGCGAGCCCGGAGCGTCGACAGCCAGGCCGAAGTGGTCGTCCAGCACGACGCCCTCCCAGGCAGACGGCCCTCACGACGGCAGCGCCCCCGAAGCCGGCCCAGCGCTGCGAAGCCCTCGTAGAGCCTCGTCGGGAGGGGGAGCGCCACGTCGTTGGTGCAAGCCATGTCGTAAGTGCAGTCAAAGGCGGGGTAGAAGTCCTGGAGGTCGTCCGCCCAGACGCGCAGGACAAAGCCAGCAGGCACCTCCAGGTCCACCAGCACGGCGGCGCTCGGGGCCAGTCTGGAGAAGCCGCCCAGCGGCAACTCAGCCGAGTTGCGAGCGATGCGATTGAAGACGACCCTCTGCGTGTTGGCGTCCTTGAACACGGGAAACAGGGTGCCTCGCAGGGCCTGCGGGGAGTCGGCCGCGTCGACCAGCTCCAGTCGCCCCACGTCATCCCAGGTGCTGGAGGAGGTCGCCAGGCTTGCCCGCCTGGCGGGCCGGCCTCGCCGGAGCGGGCCGGGTCGGGGGCCCGACCGCGCGCGCCAGGGGGCCGACGCCCGGCCCATCCCGCGCCAGCAGCCGCGGCTCCAAGAACGTGGCGGCGGCAAACGGGGCCAAGAACGCCAGGGGGTCGAAGTGGCACTCGGCCTTGGCGAAGGGAGCCTTGCTCGGGTCGATGGTCGTCACCTCGCAGTCGGGAAAGGGCGCCACGGCGCCCAAGGGGAGCTGCATCGCATTCAGGAGATAGTCGAGCAGAGCGTCGGCCTTCTCCACGCGGCCACCGTGCCATTGCAGGGGCCGGCACATCGGTCGCACAAGCCTACTCAGCCTGGACACCATCTCGGACTGAGACGAACTGCAAGGCCTCCCCGCGCGGGCGCGCGGCGGGCAGATCCGCGACTCGCCCAGGTGCAGGTGGGAGAGCGCGAGGACGACGGCGTTGACCCACATGTGCTCGACGTGAGTGCGAAGCCATCGCCTGCGAGCGCGCGCGCCCAGCCCACCCGAAGGGCGGGGGGCGGGGCAGCAGACCGGCGGCAGGAGTCGCAACCTCCTGGAACCCAGCGGCGTGCATGGAGGAGCGGACGAAGGCGCCGAAGGCCGTGCGGAGCCCGCGCAGGCGGCGGATCAGGCCAAAACCCCAGCGGATGCCCACGTCCAGCGAATTGCTGCCGCCCACCAGCCTCCTGCGGTCCCCCGCGCGTCCGCGCGGCCAAGAGGCTGGGGCAGCGTCATGCAGAGCTCCCGGGCCAGCCAGCCCAGGGAGCCCCGCTCTCACTCGTGAGGGGGCGCGCCAGCGGACTTGCCATGGCGCTTCGAGCCCCCCCCCTTTCCTCCGCCCTCCTCGGCCTTCGGTGCTGCGGCCGGCGCCAGCTTCCGCTCCGCGTCCTCGAGGGCCAGCGTGTCCTTGGTGTAGCCGATCGCTGCCGCGATCCACTCGGGCGAGGCCGAGCGGGACATGGGGCGGATCTGCCCGCGTGCCGGCGCCTGGCGGATCGAAGTCCAGGGCGGCTCGGGCAGGTGAGTCAGCAGCCAGGCTGACGTCCAGCGCCATTCCCTCAGGGCCGCCTGCTCCGACGCACAGAGGAGGAGCGCCAGCTGAGCCTCGGCGGCGCGCCGCAAGCCGCGCTCCATCAGGTCGAACACCTCCGCCATGCCGAACACCAGGAAGGCCGACGACCTCGCCTGCCCGAACGGGACGTTGCGAGCGAAGTAGTTCCGCGTGGAGTCGCTCATGCCCTCCTCGCTCGCGGCGCCCGTCATGTCGAGCTGGCGATTCCGCCGGGCCATGGCGGAGACGGCCCGGGGGCTGCTCTGGACCAGGCGTCGGAACAGCTCCAGGGCGGCAGCGCCGCGCGCGCCGCCAAGTCGCATGCCAGTGCTCTCGCCGAGCCCGTCGTCGCGCCCACCGTCCGCCAGGAGCGACAGTGCGTCTGGTTGGCGACCGCCGCTCTGAGCCAGGGCCCCCATCAATGACGCCTGCTGGGCCAGCAGGGCCATCAGCTGCTCCTCGCGGCCGCCGGCTCCTGCGGGAGCCGCAGGGGGCTGGGGCCCCGCGGTCTGGCCCGCTGGCGGAGGGGCAGAGCCGCGTGGAGGCGGGGGCGGAGGGCCCGGCGCCGGAGCAGGGCCTTGGGGGCCCGCGGTCGCCTGGCTGGAAGGGGGCCGCTGCAGGAACGGGTTCGCCGCGCCTCCCCGGCGGGGCGGAGGTGGCCCGGCGGCGGCCGCAGCGGCGCGCGCGGCGGGCAGGCCCTGAGGGGCTAGCACCCCGCCTCCGAGAGCCGCCGACGGAGGACCGCCGAGGGGAGGAGGGCCGAGGAGCCCGAAGGGCGGGGCCATGCTGGCCGCCGGAGGCGGGTGGCCGTCTGGAGGGGCCGCCGCCTTCCGAGCTGGCCCGGCGCCGGCCTCCAAGGCGGCGACCCTCTCCAAGAGCGCGTTCTGCCCAGCCAGCATCTGCTCCAGGACCTGCTGCTGCTGCTGCTGCGGCGCCTTCCTGGTGGGGGCCTTCCTGGTCGGCGCCTTCGGGGCGGCGGGCGGAGCAGCCGGCTGCGCGTGCAAGGCTGCCCGCTGCCGCTTCAGCTCCGCCACCTCCGCGGCCAGGCTCCTCAACTCCTCGACCGCACCGGCCCGCTGCTGCTCCGACAACTCGCCCGGCGGCGTCGCGGCGGCTGGAGGGAGCGGAGAGGCCTCCCCGGCGAACCGCGCGCCGAACCCAGCCCCGGCGGCCGCTGGCTGCAGCCCGGGCGCCAGAGGGGGGCGGAGCTGCGGTCCGAAGGCGGACGGCGCCGGCCCCATCTCCTGCGGTGCGCCTGTCGCCTCGAGCGCGGGCTCGCCAGCGCCCTGCAGAGAGTCTATAGAGTGGCCAGCATCTCGGCGGGGACCGCGTTCACAGCAGCCACTGGGTCGGGCCACCAACCATCGTCGCGGAAGGCGTAGACCTCGCCCTCGGCAGGGGGCGCGGGGGAGAAACGCCTCACCAAGGCGCTCGGGGCCTCCATGATCTCGGCCGACAGCAGCTGGCCGTCCAAAGGCGACCCGACGCGATCCCAGGCCGGCAGATGCATCGCTTCGTAGGCAGTGTCGAGCCGGCCCGAGGGCACCACCGCCACGGTCGAGAGGGCGTCGGCTCGCACTCGCAGCGCCGCCACCGTGACCTCGTAGTCCGAGTCGACGCCGTCCTTCAGCGTGAGGAACCCGAACTCCCCGGCGATCCCTCCAGCAGCAGGGGCGGGCAGCAACGCCGCGGCCGCCACGTTCTGGGGCGTGGCATGCCCAAACCAGGCGCTGGGGTCCTCGTCCTCCTCCTCGCCAGTGTCGAACGCGTTCTCCTCCTGAGCCATCCTCACCAGCGGTGGAGGGGAGGCGGCACTGGGGCGCCGTGGCGGTCGGCCTCGGCAAGGTAGCCAGCAGTCGCCTCGTCCTCCGAGGCGAAGCGGCGCAGGCGGTCGCCGCGGAAGGAGCGGTACCCGCCGATCCGCCCGGCGATGGCGTCCCAAGCCCGCCGAGCGCCGCAGTGGACCCCCACGAGGTCCGGGGCAGCCGGGCTCGCCCAGACCGCGTAGGCCCAGGCCTCGGCGCGCGCCGCTCGGGGCGCACGGGAGCGGGGCGGCCGGAGTCGGGCGGGGCGCCGGCTCCACGGGCTCCGTCTGCGTACCCACGTCCCGGGTCGCAGGGCCCGCGCCAGGGGCCGCGCCGGCCGGCGAGCCGCCGGCCCCGCAAGGGGTCAGGTGCACGTTGACGGTCTGCACCGCGGGCCCAGGCGCCGCGCTGCCCAGAGGGGCGCCGGCCCCAGCAAGGGAGGCAGCAGGCGCCCGCCGGCTGCACGCGGACGCCGCAGCCGCCAGGAGCGAGGCGAGCATCCGCTGGAGGGTGCGCGGGAGAGACGGGCGCGCGAGGGCGCCCGCCGAATGAGAGCTTGAAGCCAGAGCCCCCGCGCGTCGAGGAATCACTGCAATCATATATATATATATATATACAAGACTGCAGTGGCGCTTCGAGCCATGCACCTTGGTCCTTGAACTTTGGTTTGCAGGCGGAATGGCAGGAAGGTCAAGCCGACAATTTAGCGATAACTCATGGTTGCCTTTTCCGGCATCGCCGCTATAATGATGTTATTCGTTATCCTTCCTCCATGCTTATTGTTCCTTATTTTCGCCATACCCTGCGCATTCTCCACATCCTCCTCAGCTCTTTTTTGCGGAAGCTCCTCCTTGGAGAGCCTCTAGGGGCCTCACAAAAGTTGTTTCGGGCTTTCTTAAGGCCTTCTGGAGCCTCCTGGGCGTATTCTGGGGGCCTCCGGGGGCTTCCTCGGGCCACCCTGCCTCCAACCGCCGTCTCCCTGAACGACCGAATCACGATTTGGAATTCTTCGGAGGGTGTCTTTGGGCCATCTTGGGCCGCCATGGGGCTCTCTGAGGGCCATCTTGGACCCGTGTTGTGCCGTTTTGGGGCTCTCTTGGACTGCCTGGAAGCCCTTTCGGATGGTTGTGGGGCGATTTGGGAGCCTCCCAGGCGGCTTCGGACGCCCAGGAGACCGCCGTCTTGGAGCGTCGGGAAACCGAAAAGAGGAGAACCCCAAAATTCACCAAAAACTCTCAGAAAATCAATGATTTTTGCCTCGGGGGGCCTTCTTGGGAGTGCTCTTGGAGCCCTCTTTGGGGCCGTCCTGGAGGACTCTTGGGCCATCTTGAGGTCACGTCGGTCACTCTTGGAGCGCTCTTGTGCTGTCTTGGGGGTCTCTGGGACGTCTCCGATGACCCCCCTGATCGCCCTAAGTGTGCTGGGAAGGCTTGGCAAAACGCCTTGCGAGGCCCGGTGGCCGCTTCGAGGCCCGTCCGGAGGGCCCCAAAGCCCCAGGTCCTGGGAGTCCGGTTTTGGGGGGGGGGGGATCGGTTTTCCCCCCGCCCGGGCTTGTAAAAATATAGGATGAGGAATATGTGTGTGTCGGTACTTTGATCATGTTGTAGCGGTATGCATATATCATATATACATGGATGTAGAATCATATACAGATCGGTCGATGGATGGATGGAAAGATAGATGAGGACGAGGGTGAGGAGGAGGATGAGGAGAGAGGAGGAGGAGGAGAGAGAGAAGGAGAGAGAGAGAGGAAAGGGGGTGGAGAGGAGGAGTGAGGAGGAGTTGCTTGTTTATGGATAGAGAATCGAGGAGGAGGACCCGGAGGAGGAGGAAGAGGAGGGATAGGAGAGGGAAGGATGAGGAGGAGGAAGGGAGGAGGATAGTAGTAGTAGGAGGTAAGGAAAGGAGGAGAGATGCTGAGAGGAGGAGGATTAGTAGTAGAGGAGTAGGCAGGATGGAGGAGGCAGGGAGGAGGCAAAGGCAAATGGATTCAGGACGAAGGCATCGCCCCCCGCCCCCCCCCCCCCGGCGCACCTCCCGCCAGCCGCCCCGGCGAGCTCCGCCGCCGCCCCGCCGCGCGCGCTGCCGCGCCGCTGGCGGCGGCGGGCCGCTCGCGGGAGGGCGAGCGGCTCGGCCGTCTGCGGGGGGGGGGCGTTGGCGGCGCGGCCGCGCGGGCTCTGCTCGCGGGCGCCACGGGAGACTTCCCAGTGGTCAGGAGGAGGAGGAGGAGGAGGAGGAGGAGGAGGAGGAGGAGGAGGAGGAGGAGGAGGAGGAGGAGGAGGAGGAGGAGGAGGAGGGAGGAGGAGGACGAGGGGGAGGGCCCAGACATCGGGCGGCTCGAAAAAATCGAAGCGGAGGCTTTGCACAGTTTTTGGCCTCTCGTGGCCCTCGCCGGGCCTCGGGGGCGTCAAACAACGGCTCGGGATGGAAAGCCGGTCCCAGGGAAGTGGTCGGGAGGTCGGGAGCCCGACTTCATTCCGGCGGTCAGAGACAAGTTCGGTTGATTGCTGAAGTGCGCTTTGCCATCCATTGTCCAATTTTCTTCTCTTCCCTGCCCCCTTCTGCCCGCGCCCCGCCCCTTCCGATGCACCCCGCGCGTCGGCACTGCAATGCTCAGCTGGTTTAGACCGCGACGCTCGAGGCGCTTCGGACACGTCGCAAGCACGCGCGCTGATTGAGCAACAAACAAGAACAAACGGAAAGGACCTCCAACGCATGGAACAATCAAGGCGGGAAATGTTGAAACGTTTCGGGGCTTCGAGGGTGTAGTTTCGGACGCATTCGCTGGTTCTCGGCGGTTTTCCAACCTCGGGGTGCCTTCCAACAGCTGCGACTCGCCGATCGCCTTCCACGGGTGCCCGGATCGTCACATACGGCCGCTCGAATTTTGGCCCGAAAGCTATCCGCAGCCCGGACCTCAATTGAAAAATATCGAGACGGATGATTTGTTTTTCATTTTGGGGGCTTCTGGGGGCCCTCGCAGGGCCCCAGGAGAGTCAAAAACTTCTTGACATAAAAAATGGCCCCAGGGAAATGGCCGGGCCATCTCAGGATCGCGCATTGGTAACATATGTTTCATACAAGCATACGTGATTCAAACAAAAGAAACGCCAGCCCAACGGGCCAGAGGCGTGCCAAGGTCCCCGGCAACAAGTTTAGAACATGTCTACGGTGGCCGCATATGAAAAGGAAACCCTGGATAAGCCGTCCAGGGTCTGGAAGCCTGGTGGAACTCCAATCGTGGGTTGGCCGTGGGTACACGTCGTTAATTTCTAATCGCGCTCATCTCTAATTGTGCTCGTTTATAATTGTTCCTGGCCCCACAGTGGCCAGGAAGAGGCCCAGGATGGAAGAATTAGAAATGAAAGGATCCTGGCCCCCCAAAAAGTCAAAGAACTCTCGAATACTAAAAAATCAACCATGTGCATCACTGCTGCCCTCATCAGGCAAGGGATCCTCCAGGGTCTTGGGCCTTCTGGCACGCTGCCCAACGAGCGCCTCCACCGTAGTTCGCGCGCGCGGGGCCGCCCCCCGGCGCCAGCGTCGAACGGGCAGCTTTTGCGGCGGTGGCCGCGTGGCCAGGGTGTCCCGCTGCAGGGGTCGTTCGGCCGTCCGCGCCAGGGCGCCCAACTCCGCAAAAGAAAAATGCCCTGGCACGCAAAAAACAACATTTTTGTCAGGCTCCAGCGGGGTCACCGGGGCCACACATACCCTGCCCACTCCACGCCCGACTCGGGCCAGGGATGCTGCTGCGCCGGGTGCGGCCTCCCGGGCCCCCGAATGCGCGCTCCAAGGGGCCTCCAAGAGAAGTCAAGACAGTCCGAGACGGCATCTCCCTCTTTCTCCTCATTTCCAGCACGCCCTCTCCTCCTCCTCCTCCTCCTCCGCCTCCTCCTCCTCCCTCCTCCTCCTCCTCCTCCTCCTCCTCCTCCTCCTCCTCCTCCTCCTCCTCCTCCTCCTCCTCCCTCCTCCTCCTCCTCCTCCTCCTCCTCCTCCTCCCTCCTCCTCCTCCTCCTCCTCCTCCTCCTCCTCCTCCTCCTCCTCCTCCTCCACTCCTCTTTCCTTCCTTCCTCCTCCTCCTCCTCCTCCTCCTCCTCCTCCTCCTCCTCCTCCTCCTCCTCCCCGGTACGAGAAGGTCGCCAAAGACAGTCTTTGGATGACCCGGGACGCCTCCGGAATGCCTCAAGAGAGCCCCAAGAGAACCCCCAAGAAGGCCTCGAGGGGCACAAGTCTATGATTTTCTTGAGGTTTTTGAAAATACTCGCGTTATCGCCTTTTCGTGCTTCCGATCCCCCAAGAAGGCCCCAGAGACCCCAATACCGCCCCAAGAAAGCCCAAGAGGCTCCCACCAGGAGGGCCCCCAAATGGCCCAAAAGAACCCAATGCGGCCCAAAGAATCCCCCCAAGGGGGCGCCAGAGGCCCCCAGGAAGGCCCTAAGAGGGGAATCCGAACTACCTTTGGGGGTCCTTCTCCCCGAAGTGGCCCCCGAGATCGCTAGCAAGCCCCCAAGGGGCCCCCCAGAGGCCCCAAGAGGCCCCCAAGAGGCCCCAGAATGCGGCCACGAGGCCCTCGAGAGGCCCCCCAAGAGATTCCACCTTGCCTCCCAACAAAGAAGCCCCTTGTCCACGACCCAGCCTGGCCACACTATGCAGTATGTGCCGGCCGGAGGAATGAGCGAAGCGACTGAACCAAGACGTCGCCTGTCACAGTCTCTCGCGGGGGGGCACGGAGGAGCGACCAGGGAGGGGAGGAGGCTGGACTGCCCCTGAGTCCGTGGCAGATCGATCCGGCTCGACAGATGCCGCAGAGAGATGGGCTCTGGGGCCCTGGTCGTGATTGTTCGCGACGTTTCCAGTTGCTGGCAGCGTCGGATCTCAGGGGAGGCAAGGGGAGGGGGGGCTCGGGAGGGGGGGCGGACTTGGGAGAGGCGCGGAGGCGGGGCGGAGGGGGGAGGGCTCGGGGAGTTGAGGGGGGGGGTAAGGGGGGGTCTGGGGAGGGAGGGGGGGGGGCAGGAGCGAGGCAGGGGGAGGCAGGCTGAGATGGGAGGGTGGGGGGACCCGAGAAGTGAATTCCATCCAGGGGAGCGGACCCCGGCTCGCTCGACTCGGAGCCTCGCGGAGGTGGGGGTTCCCGAACCACGCTGAACCGGCCTATAGGCCGAGAAGACTCCCCAAACCCTGGAACAGGAGCCCCCGAGCCACACAAAAGAG